TTTGCCAATTGCTGGTGAAAGTTGGATTGGACAAGGCAGGTGGTAAGAGAGGTACTTATAAAGGACAAGGGTAGATCGAGTAGTCGGTTGGACAGTGTGTTTAGGCGCTGAAGATAGCAGGTAGAGGCAAGGAGGAAAAGGCTACAAAAGGTTCAGATCTGACAAAAAAAAAAACAGAAGATCATGCAAAAAAAAAAACTTTCACAAAACTGGAGAGGATGAACTGTTGTACCACTAGTGAAGCTGTGAAAAACTAGCAGCGTGTAGGAGACGCAGGTGAACTGATAAGCCTCAGACAACAAACTTCAGCCTCTGCTCAAAGGAAGAAAAGAACAAACAACACACTGCACTGATAACGATGAGATGGACAAGAAAAATAAACACAGAAAGTCCAAACTGTGCCACAAATATTCAAATCAATTCAAAGTTGTGCTCTAAAAAACACAAAAGTCAAAAAAAGAGTTCCAAAAAGTATTATTTCAAAAAGAATGAGACAGAAGTGTTGTGGCAGATTCACGATGCTTATGTTGTTGCTCAGTTGTTTGGTTGTAGTGGTGGAATTCTGGGAAATGAAGTTCAGCTGTTAATCTGACTGCAGGTTGAATGTTAGTGCCACTACTTTTAGAATTTCAGGTTTTTTCCACATGAGATTAAAAATAAAAGATGACCCCCCCCCCCATGTCGGTCGACCCCTCTGCAGGTTCGACCGACATGTTGAGACTGAGACAGCGTGAACTTTGTTGTATTTCTGCTGTTTGAGATTTATTTCCACTGGACTGGTTTTATTCAAACTGAAGGACTGAAGTAAATGTTTTTATAATCAAGCTTCCAGCTGCAGTCGAGCTTCTAAATAACATTCCTGCTGACTCCGAGTCAGGTTTAGATACAGAGAAGATGCTGACACTAGGAATGAACCTGTTAGCGGTCCTTTTAAAGGACTTTTCCTATTGGCTAAGCCAGCTATGATGTCATAATGACAGAATTTCTTACCCAGCACCAAAAGAAAGAATAAGGAGGCAATTTGATCACAGTCTGATTTAAAAAAAAATGCTAATCTTGCTAACTTTTAGCTAATCTTGCTAACTATTAGTTATTAAAAAGAAGCTACTATTTTATGCTGTTGAGCCCTGAATCATTATTTTGACATGTGGACTCTTCGTACCAACCAGATTAGAAATTAAACGCTCGGGTGTTAGCTCTACATCAGCAAGCTAACGTTGACGATTGCTAACAGCTCTGAGGTTCAGCATGTTAACTTTTAACCATTTGCCTCCCATGAGTTCAGCTGAAACTACTCAGCGATAGTCGTAAATAATTAAAGTGTTATCCTAAACTATAACAAACCAATTTGAACCAAGTCCTCGACTAAAACAGCTTTTATACACAAGGGGAGGAGCCGGCCGTCCCGTCCATGTTAACACGTCTCTGACAACAACACAGCCAGCGGGACTCGAGCTTCTCACTCACTGTAGACAGTCATGACTCAGAGACACATTTAAACAGGATAGACTGGATCTCTGCTGTATATTGCACATTCTTCCTGGAGTGTTTTTTTTAGGAACTCCTAGTTCAAGCACTAAAATAAAAACTTTATAAAACGTCACATCAGGAAGCAGATTAAACCTTCACCAGTTAAAGTCAGCTCCCATTGGCTGTGATCAAACTGCCTCCTCCTTGTTTTTTCTTTCTTCAGCAAAAGCCACTGCCCTGTATTATATATAAGAACACTGCACACGCACACACAGAAGGTGTTTTCAGACCAAATGGTTCTGGGGATATTTTGAAGAGGAACTATCCACCAAGGAGTTCCCTGAGAACTTCACACAATAGGGACTTTTTTCTGTCTGCATTCGCACCGCCATGTTACCTACTCTGAAGCAGGGTCTAAAAGGGTTCCTCTAATCGGGATCTAGGACCTTAAAAAAGTTCATAGTTCCTGCGGTGGGGGGGGGGGGTGGTTCCAACAGTTCCGAAGGTCCGAAAACGCCTATAGACACACAGAAACACACCTGTGAGAGATGCAGTGTAGAAGAATAATAAAAACATATAAACCAAAAGCTCAGAGCAGAAACAAACATGTCTGCACAGCTCCGGTTCGTCAAATAAGCAGGTCGTAGACGTTAAGTGTTGCTTAGTGACCAAATGATGTGCAGCTATTTTTTTAAACCTACATAGACAAGTGGCATGTTTGTTAATAAAAATCTAAATGACAATGTAAACTCACTTTTAAAGAAGTGAACAATATCAACACATGTTGGGAGAAGAACAAAAAAAGACACATTTTCACGATCCAGGGAGACGACAGAGACAAAGATGAGACAAAAACTCTTCCTGGACTTTTCTAAAGGTTTCCAAACCAAAGGACAGAGGCATGATGGGTGAAAACTTCAGATTTTACGCTGACATTTTTCACCCCCTCCCCAAGTTCGACGTAACTCAAAGTAAACTGAAGTGATGAACATCTCCACCATGAAAGCACAAACATTTCAGTACATCAGTAACGACTTCACTCACAGTAAAGAGAGTTGAATCTTTATGAACCCAGTGGAGTTAACACTGATCCTATGACAGAACAAAATTATCTTTACTTCGAAGGCATTCATCTGAGTTGAGAAAGGTGCAACTAGATGGACTTCATTTTATAATAAATCACATTCAAACAGACAGCTTGCTATAATGACTGTAAACTAACGAGGCTACTTCCTGTCTCCACACTCCCTCATCAGGATATAAACCTGTTTTCACTTCCCCTGTTGAGATCAGTAGTCACTTGGTGGATCAGGAGCTTGGTACTGTTGGCACCCATCTTTGTTTACTCTTAAAGAGGACATATTATCCCCCTCTTCCCTTTTTCCAAACAGTCCCCTGTGGTCTAAATGAAACATCTTTGCTGTGCTTTGTTCAAAATATAACATGAATCAAGCACCAGAGGAGGTTTGTGACCCTGTATAAACCAGCTCTCTCAGAACGCTCCGTTTTGGTGTGTGTGTCTCTTTAAATGAAATGAGCCCCCCCTGAGTTTTCCCCATAGACATCACTCCTCTGTAGCGAGAATAAAAACGGCTGACCTTCTCTAAAGTTTTGTTCTAGGCTGGTGGTGGAGATACCAAGGGAGGGGAGGGGATTTTCTTTTTTTTTTTTTTTACGAGAATCCCACTGTGACATCACAAGGAGAGCATTTTTCTCTGTGTTGTAAGACTTATGCAGACCACAAACAAAGGACTGGATGGGTTTATTTCACATGTTGTGGGTCAGTAGACACTCAGGTTACCCAAATTAATGTTCAAAAACACTGTACAAGTGGATTTTTCATAATATGTCCCCTTTAAGGTGCATTTTTGCTTGTTTTTTATGCCTTTATTTAGACACAAGACAGTTCATACAGTCTTAACGTCCATTTCACTCTTCATCCCATGTAAAGTCTCTGTGTTTACAGTCATTTTGCAGTTTTTTATTATCAATGTGATTTATCGAAGGTAAAATGAAACTCACAGCACCTTTAAAATCTGATCTTAAAGACTCAGACCTGAACAGTCCAACTGAATTCACTCTCACTGCAGACGCCAAAATCACCAACGCCACATCCTGCATCACACTCCACCAGGTCTGCCTCGCCACCACACGCTTCCTGTATCTGTGGATATAAACTTTTTTTTAAAAAACACTGGGTGAAGATGTGAGATCCGTCAGTTGGAGTGAGCGAGCATTGGTCACTTTACGTTGATGATTTCCTTTCTTATTTTCTTTCATTTCTTGAGGAATGATTCTGACGCTGTTTGATGATACTGAGAGGATTTAACGCTTTGTTCTGATTGGTTGTGTGTAGTAAGAAACGGGAAGTGGGTTGCTGTGACTAACACCATGATGACACAAAGATTGTTCCATGTTTAATTTCTTTCTTTTTGTACATTTTAAAGTGTTTTTTTTTTATTGATTATTTGAACACACAGGGCGACTTTGTTGAGGCTCATCACTGTCGACACATCTGACCTTTAATCTGCTGTGTGCAAGATCTCCTTTAGATGATGTCATAGTTTAATTAACCTTTAACTATTGGATCAATATAACGCCAGATGGGATCCTGGCTCAGGTGCAGTACAGGTATCACTCTGGATTTGACCTGATGTATCTCTGATGTTTCTTTGACCTCTGAGGTCACACAGAGGTCACACAGAGGTCAGATTCGTCGACGGTGACTCACCTGTCCAAAGCCGCCCTGCTGCTGTACATACTCAACCACTGAATGACTAAATAGTTATTGTTGTTGTTGTTTTCATATCTGGATGCAGGTGATGTAACAAACGAATGGTGATGTGAGTGATTAACCATGAGTTACAATAAAGAGCATTTCTATTTGCTTTGAGGACACCTTTGGTTTCTCTGTGTTTATACATAACTTTAAATCACAAATTCATGGCTAAGCCCTCCATTTCTTACAGAATAAAGGTGAGAAAATGATTCTTCAAATAACTTAAAACAGTTTGTTTTACATTTTGGTGGAAACCTAAAAAAGAAACCGAACCAAAAGTTACACAAAAAACAAGAAATCTCGAAATGGTCTTTTTTAAAAATTTTTTTAGCATCCTCCTCCATCATCAGCATCCCCTGATGATAAGAAATTAACTTAGCAGCTCTTAACCTATGAAACGATCAAGAACATTATTTTTTACTTAACATTGTTAAGTCATTACAGTCTTTACTTAACACCGCCCACCCAAAGGAGAATAAAAGGGTGTATCGACCCGTTCTCTCCTCTCTCTCTTTCACCTCCTCCGTCTTCTCCCTGTCCCCCCTCTCGATTAGTGTGTCAGCCCGTCCTCTCTCTCCCTACCTCCTGTCGACCCGTCCTCTCCTCTCTCTCCTCCCTCCTGTCGACCCGTCCTCTCCTCTCTCTCCCTCCCTCCTGTCGACCCGTCCTCTCCTCTCTCTCCTCCCTCCTGTCGACCCGTCCTCTCCTCTCTCTCCTCCCTCCTGTCGACCCGTCCTCTCCTCTCTCTCCTCCCACTTAATGAGTATGTTGGCCCGTCCTCTTCTCCCGTTTCGATGTCACTCAGAGTCAGGTCTTCAGGACTCAGCGGTGAGAGCTGAAACTTTTCCCACAGAGCAGAAAGAGAGCGATCACAGAGGAGGAAAACTTCTCTTTCTCTGTTTCTCTGTCAGAAGTTTGATGTTTTGGACTCTTCAGCAGAGACATGAGACTGCAGAGAAGAACCTGCTGAGACAGACGGACAGACATGGACAAACAGAAAGGTACCGTGCTCACTTTATTTCACACTTTATGTTCAGAAAATATTACAGATACAACAAAACAAGAATTCACATCACTGAGAAATCAAAGGACTGCAAGATTTCAGTGAGGTTTCACTAAAGCCATAAACCTTTAAGACTTTGACTATCACCTGAGGCGTCAAAAAGATGAATTATTTACATTTATTTAATGTCAAATTAAACTAGAATCTTAACATTTAAGATTAAACACCATTAAAAAATATTTAAAGAGCTGACATGCGAGTTCTGTGTGACTTTTTAACATTTTGAATATTTTCACAGAAGAAAAAAACAAACAGATTTCACATAATTTTTGTAGGTGTTTTCTTTTGCTTCATCTTCACTTAATGCACTGTGTCTTTGTTTATCACCTAATTTTTGAATAAAAGGACTAAACGTCTATATTCATAAGAAGTATAAACCAGTAAAACAGAAGCTGAAACTGAAGGAAGTCTGTGAGCATCGACTGTTTCCTCTTCTAATCCTCATTTCACTGTTTGGTCTAATTTAGTCTCTTATTTATATTAAGTTTATAATGTCTGTATTTGTAAAGTATCACTGTTTCTGTATTTTCTTGAAGTCTAAAGATTCTGTTTTAATCCGTGTACAGGTTGCTAATAAGCCTCGGTTATAATCCTGTATGCATGACATCTATACTGTGTGTTTGACATATGAAGAAATGTTCATTGAATGTGTCCCTGTTAAAATAAACGAATACATAAAATAAAGTCATAAATAAATATTACAGATGTTCACAACACATGATTGTGGGGACATCAGAAAGAGGTTAAAATAATTATAGTAACCTTATTTATGAAGCTTCATGAAGATTTATTAATGAAGATTTATTAATGTGTATGAATGGATTAGTTAATACTGACGGTCTCTTCACAAAGCAGCCTCTACCATCAGTATGTGATGTGTGTAGGTGTGACCTGCGGTGTAAAAGCGCTTTGAGGGGGGGCGCCGGTGGCCTTGTGGTTAGTGAGTAGATGGCAGAAAAAGCCAAAAATAAATCTTTACAAAAAAGCGCTTTGAGTAGTTAGAAACGGCGTAAAAAAGTAAAGTAAAGGGTAAAAACTAATTTGTTTCAAATAAGATGTTATTGTTTCATAATAAAGGACCAATCTTTATATCTAAACTAGTTCCAGCAAAACCTGTTGATGCCATGAGTTCTTCTTCTTTATCACATTGATGGTATGTAAACTTCAGCAGCCAAACATTCGGAAACACCCGTCTGTCTGACCTCCGTCCTCCGCCCCTCATCATCCTCATCCCCACTTCCTCCCTCCGCTGCCCTCAGGAGACACAGCTAATAGTCTGTTTGGATTCACACTGGCAATTTAGCATTTTTCTCCCCTTACATGCACCCCGGCCAACCGATGTCTCCAGTTTTAGTTGAATGACTTCACAAGTTAACCAAAAAGATTAAAAAAAACAGGGGCGTGACAAAACCAGTGCTGTGCTGAGCGAGGACACAAACACGTCAGTCAACCCTCCCTGACACTTTTACTATACAGTTTTATTTATTTTAAAAGTCACATATTCTCCTCCTCTTCAACCAGTTTAAATGAGTCCCAGAGCTCCCCAAAACATGTGTGTGAAGTTTCTTGTTCTTAAATCCACTGTGATCCTGTATTTTATCATGTCTATAAACCCCTCTATTTCAGCCCTGATAAAAACAGGCTGTTTCTGTGTCTGTACCTTTAAATGTAAATGAGCTGTGTCTGACCACGCCCCCTCTCTGGAAGGGCTTGGGCGGCTCTGGCTTTCTCGCTCCATGTCCTATTGTTTACGGTGAGAAGGCAGACTCAGAGGACAGAACAAACACCTAGCTGAGGGAGTGTCACACACCTGGGGGAGGGGTTACTGCCCTTTGTGATGTCATGAAGGGAAAATCTCCAAACGGCCTGTTTGAGCACACATTTTCTGTAAAGTGGAGCAGGCAAAAGACAAAGAGGATGGACTTTTCTCATAATTGGGGGGTTTGTAGACAGACTAGAGACACATATTAGTGTTTAAAAAACATTTAGTCTAATATGTGACCTTTAATGTTTGGCTCTTTTGATATCTTTAACAATAAATAAATAAATCATATTTCTGTCTGGCCCTAACAGTTTTCATATCAACTGATCACAAGTCAGTGAAAGAATAAAAGAGCTCACAAAGGGACCTTTTTCTGTTTTCTTGTCTTTATGTTTTAGAGTTTAAAGCGACAACATGTAGGATTTTGATTTGATTTGTTTTAAGTCTCTTTAAGTTGTAAAACACACGGTGCTGTTATGCCTTCCTCACACACAACGTGCATCTGTTGACAAGCAGAGGAGCTGCACAGTGAGAAGTCAAAGAACCATGTCGACTGACAGGGTGCAGGAATATCACAGGATGTTGCGCAGATATGACACTGCTGGGGTCCCGTTGTACAGACTTCTTTTTGGTGTAAGATGGAAACCTGAGGCATGACTAGGGTTAGACAACTTTCTACAGCCGGTAAATCTGCTTAACATGAGACAACGATGACACCGATAATGTTTTTCAGTTGTTTGATTTTTTGATTTTAAGTTTATCAAATAGAAACAGCAAACATTAGTAAATGGGACAACAAACTAAAACCAGACAGAGACCAAAACACCAAACATGATTTGTCTCTCATTCAAACAGACGTCATACGCTGTGTGTGGGATGTGTTTTTCATTTTGTGTGTGTGTGTGTGTGTGTGTGTGTGTGTGTGTGTGTGTGTGTGTGTGTGTCAGCAGCATCAAAACCAGAGACAGGAAGTAATGTTGATGTTCAGATAAGCTGCGTTCACTAACAAACTCTTTATATCTCTGTGCAGCAGCAGTCTTTGTGTTGTGATTTCTCTCCACAGACAGACCGACTGTCTGTGTTGTTGTTATTGTTGTTGTTGTTGTCGTTGTGTCGTGGGTGTGTGAGGTATGCACAGCTCTGTGTTTAAAACAGCAGCAGGCTAATAAGCAGAGCCGAAGGATCCTTTAAATCAGCAGCGAAGAGTTAATCTGAAACATTTAACCTCCGTCTCCCACTCAGCTCAGAGAGTGAATGGACGCACTCTGTGTGTGTGAATGAAGCTCGGACACAATCACCGTCTGTTCCTCTGCATATTTTACATTTTCACTCCTTCTGATGATAATTCAGACTGTTTGGAGATTATTTCCGTCAAACGTCAGTTTTTAAAAAGGAGCGAAAACAACAACAAAGTCAATTCATTTAAAGGGTTAAAAACATGTTGACAGTTAGACCTCTCAACCATCGTACCTGCTGATGTTCTCGGGGGTTTCAACCAAGCGGCAACCTCCGGGCTTGAAAAATGAAGCCAATGTGGAAGTGCAAAATCCTGCAAGTCACTTACACACCACAGCCGAAAAAACAGTTTTTACATGTTTACAGCCTGGTACAAAAAAAAAAAACAATTGTCTTCAAGGACACACACTGTACAGCGGCTCCGTTTTTATTTTAAAAACGATACGTGTTATTCATAGTTAGGCGTGCAGCTGACATGATTCACAGGTGGGCACGGTGTAACGGTTCATCAAGGGGCTTAAAACCCGCCTCAGCTCCAGCTCTCAGCCTGTCGTTAGGTTGACTGAAAGTTAGGCTGAGACAGGATTTCCAACATGGCGGCTGCTGTCGATGAGCCTACAGAGCCGCCTGCAGGAACAGACGGGTGACGTCACTCAGGCTTCAAATATTAATATTTACTGGTTTCAACTTGGTCTTATTTCTATGTTTTATGTGATAAAATAGGATAGTGTTTGGAAAAAAAAACATGGAGAAGGTTGTATTTTTTAGAGGAAAGGTTCAAATAGTTCAAAAAATCTGGGGAATGGTTAGGTGGGCAATCATGCTTCAGCATTGAAGGGGGCAATATTCTAGTTCTACTCTTGGTATTAAGAGATCTATGAGCAGCCTATGAGGTCTAGTGATTGTTTAGGATGATCTCTTGGGGGATTCTAGTCAAGATTTGGGCGGGCCACTTTCAGGTCGTTCTTAAACTCCTTTTAAAGATTCTCATGGTCATAAGGAATGTTTGTGGTGACGTTTGATTTCAACTCATGCTATTAGAAGTCCTTCTGGTCCTTTAAGATGTCTTAATGGTCATGAAAAAGGTTAGCTGTTGAGGTCCCTTAGTGTCCTTAAGAATGTTCAAGAAGTTCTGTAAAATGATCTAGTATTCACAAGGAAGGTAAAGGTGGTCTCTTTGGGTACAAAGCAGCTGCATTAGTCCTTTAATTGGTTCTATGAGACCTATAGGAGTTTAAATGCATTTGGGATGTTCTAGTCAAACTGAAAAAAGTTTTAAGTCCGTACCGTAGGAAGTTCCTCCAAATTTTACAAGAATTTTAAAGGGTGTACTTTTGGCTCTTGTGGTCATTGAGGAGGTCATACAGTTTATGTGGTTCTTGTGGTCATTGAGGAGGTCATACAGTTTATGTGGTTCTTGTGGTCATTGAGGAGGTCATACAGTTTATGTGGTTCTTGTGGTCATTGAGGAGGTCATACAGTTTATGTGGTTCTTGTGGATGTTGAGGAGATTTTTAAGCGTTGGTTGTGGAGCAACCTGTTACAGCGCTTTCCTCACCAAACACACCAAACATTGAAAAATGCTCCATGCAGTCAGAGAACCCCTGACAAAGAGAGCTAAAGCTGTTATGGAGGCTCATGGTTGAAAAGTACCTTCTTATACACCGCTTCATTTTGAATTATACTTTCATCTGTCATCTATGTTGGGGATATTTCTATAAAAATAAAAAATGTACACGTATTTGAATGACTAAAACTTAGCACCAGGAGTCAAATTTAAATCTGTTAAATCATCAAATTAGGGTTTAAGGGTCAACCCTTAATTACACGATAATAGAGAACGATCTTTGGAGTTAGTTATTTTTTATTTTTAACTACATACCACTTCCTTTCTCACTTTCTCTACAGAGACCTTGAGTTTTTTAAGATGATGTAACATACACACTCTTTATTCTGTGTTAAACATTAGCAGCACTCTGCAGCTTATCAGTGTGTTTCCTGTCACATCACTTAACATGTGTGAAGGCCAGAACATCCCAATATTTGTGGAGGGGAAACTTTCACCTCAGCAGGTGCAGTCAGTTTGATGTTTGGATTTTTTCTATCACTTGTTTATGCCGTCATGAAGTCGAACCTTATGATTTAAACAGATAACAATTTAAAGATCATATATTATGTAAAACACACTTCACCATGTTTCTCTAACTCTAACATGTCTCTAGTCTGTCTACAAACCCCCAATGATGAGAAAAGTCCATCCTCTCCGTCTTTCCCCTGCTCCACTTTTTAGAAAATGTGTGCTCAAACAGGCCGTTTGGAGATTTTCCCTTCATGACATCACAAAGGGCAGTAGCCCCTCCCCCATGTGGGTGACACTCCCACAGCTAGGTGTTTGTTCTGCCCTCTGAGTCTGCCTTTTCACCGTAAACAATAGGACATGGAGCGAGAAAGCCAGAGCCACCCGAGCCCTTCCAGAGAGGGGGCGTGGTCAGACACAGCTCATTTACATATTTAAAACTACAGACACAGAAACAGCGTGTTCTGAGCATGCTAACAGTTTACTAACAACGGGCGGAAGATGCTAGGAGAGTCCAATTTTCTCAAAATTATTCTGAAGCCTGTCAGTCAACTCCTGTCTTTGTCGCCTTCACCACCCTTTACCTGTCAACAAATGCACGTTGCCTAAGAGGGGGAGGCGTAACAGCACTGTCTGTGTTTCACAACAGTGCAGTTACACTCAGAGACCTTTGGTGGGCGCCAAAATGCATCTAACCAAATTCCTACATATTGTTACTTTAAAGTACAAATTTGTCACCCAGAAGTGTTTCAACAACAACAACATTTATATATTTCTCGAATTTTCAAACCCTATCATACAATAAATGTGTAAACAGACCCACTTATAGATAAAAATATTAACATACATGTGAACTTAAAGTCAGAAAAGGCCTGTCCAAATGGCCTATGGATAATGTTCATAACAAATATGACGTAGCAGAACTATGGTAGTAACTGTCTAACAGGAACCACATGAAGTGAAAATAGTATTTAAGGTAAATAACATGTAAAGAGGGAGGCCTCTCCCATAACTGTGTTTAATGATTTCAGCCCTTCACTCTCCTGCAGACTCAACACAAAGTCGCCGTTCATTCACTGAACCGAGACACAAAAGCTTCATTCATAACTCAACACTGACTTCATGACAACGTCCGTGTTTTATCAACCTGCTGACGACAAAACGAACCCTGCTCGGTTTCTGTTTTACTCTCAACAAACTCACAGAACAAAAGACGAGGAAACAGAATAAAGATTTTCACTTTTTAATGTTTTACAAGAAGCAAAGATTATGTAACAAAAAGAAAACATATAAAGAAAGTAGGACTTGATTAAAGACAGGGTTGGTAGTTTCCTCCAGATCCACTTTTTAAGATTCTGGTTGAAATTGTCTTTAGGTCCTGACAGAAATTAATAACTCATGTTCTCTGAAGAAAACCCGTCATCTGTAGCAGTTTGTAAGCCTGTGAAAACTTCAACCAATGTCTGCCACGAGGTACCAATCTGATGAACCAATCACGCCTCCCTGTCTCCCTGCTCGTTCTAAAATCATGCTAGTTTTTTTTTTTTAATTACCAACCCTGCCTTTAAATACAACTTTTCAAAATGTTGTCAGTAAACCTTCTAACATTTTGCATATTAGCATATAAACATCCTTAGGTTGTGTACATAGGAACTCTAGCATGTTGACATCTTAAAGGGATAGTCAGCTTGGCCCCTTTACTGAGAATAGCATTATTATAATATTTCTACTAATCTGTTCACTTCTATTAATTTTTGTCTCTTTTTCATGAACGTTGAGCTGTTTTCATTCCACTGTCGTTATTTCTGTTTATTTAGTTTTGAAGATGTGTTTTGTGAAATGTCACTGTATTAATGCTTTGCACTAATTAAAGAGAAAGCTGCCATGTGGTGGCTCACCTTGTGCCTGTGTGAGAAGGGACAATGAGGGTCTTTCATAAAGACAGATAGTGAGAGTGTAATCAAACATGACTCATCGTTCTGCTGCTCCGTCAACAGTTGGGTCAACCATGACTCATTAGAACGAGATAAACTCTGTCACAGTAAAACTGAGGAGTCCAGCTGTTCACCTGTCTGTCTGTCTGCCTGTCTGTCTGTTCACCTGTCTGTCTGTCTGTCTGTCTGTCTGTCTTTAGTTCTGGCTAAGCTGATCTGGGACTTGCAGTCGTTCCTGTCTGTTCTGGACTCAGAGAACTTGAGTTATATCGCTCAGGCTCAGAAGAAATCCATCTCAGAGCTGCTGTCCAAACTGCAAACAAACGACACTCCTGGTAAGAATCATATTCATTTTATGAACAATAAACCCAGGAGTGACTGGTGCATCGTTCTCCATGGTGGGCACAACTTCTCATAGACAGACCAGGATGCATAGTTTAGTTTGTTAGCTTGATCCTAAAACATACTGGAAAATACCATTAACTGGCTAACAGAATTAGTATCAAGATAAGTTTAACGATCTCTTTGACTTAATATACTCAACAAACAACACCGTATGCACTCACATTCTCAGGCTTATGTTTCCTAATATATGTAAAGACAGAATTAAAATACTGCTGACTCATGCTGGTCTGCTGCTCTGATCCAGTGACGCTGCATGACTCGCTCTTTATGTCTCGCTCTCTGCGGCCTCCTTGGGTGGTGGTGTGTAATGGGTTCATTGACGCATTTTTTCCTGAGCTCCTCATTCCTCCTATATCTTGTATATCTGTGTTGAAGAGGATTCTAGTGCCCAAGAACAGAAACACGTCAACAATCAGTAATTTTGGACACATAGAGCGTTTAAATTATTTTTTGCAGATTTGACATTTTACTCAATTACTATATAATATAAACTTTGCCCTTTTAAAATTGTATTTTTTTCAGTTTTTACAGCCTTTATTAAAAACTAATTAAAATAAAAATCATATTTAGTATTCTCCTAGAGCGGAGTGAGGTGCCCTAGTGCCCCCTGTTGACCAGTCGCCACTTTGTGATTCTGATCTTCTGATTTTACGATTTTACTTCTCTTACAAAAGATAAAAGTCCCACAACTTCTGCTTTTATTACGAGTGAAAAAAGCTTGTTTTTTTGTGCTTACTAATAGCTGATGTTGGATCAGTCAGTTGAAGAGTAATCACTGAAAGAAACTCAAATCTCAGTTGTAGTTTTAATGCCACCTTACAGATGGAAGAAGTTGAAATGTCGGTTTATGTAAGAAATGAAAGCAAAGAAGGCGACCAAAAAAGATTCTCAGACAAATGTTTGGTCGGAGATTAAACTTTAAACCAACTGCTGGATCAGTCTGAATCACTGAAACGAGATGGATCTGTTAACTTCCTGTTATAACATTTACTGACACACACAGATGTGTTCGGTGTGTTTCTAGTGGAAGATGCCGAGTACATGATCATGAGCTGTCCATCATCGTCTCCTAGCAACGAGCTGACAGACACACCTGGCACAGGTAACACTGAGCTTTTTATTTAGATCTGCTTCACGTGCACATCCTCATATGATAACTGTAACATGCTTAAATTCACAGCGACAGCATGAAAAATGTTTTAGCACGTTTACAAGATGAGTTGCTTCCATGGACCCGCTTATGATCTTCTCAGACTTTACGAATATTTTTGCGTCATCTGAAGAAATTACTGATGTTGTAAATGTCTTTAAAAGGACACAAGTTTGATGTTATATTAAATGTAAATGAATCTGATTTGTTTGTTTGTCCAGAGGGAGTTGGGTCGTCTGAGCTCGACTCGCCTGTGTGGCTGAGAAACTCGGTGAGTCAAAACACACATCAGACATTTGTTACCCAGCGCATGTTGATACCTTGAGCCCTTTTTATAGTGCAATGCCACAACAGTGCCCAAAAGAAGCTCCGTCATTATTACGCCTAAAGACATTCATTTAGATTCTGCAACGGTGTACCATTGGTGTCCCAGTCTGTGAGCACGTCACAGCAGGAGCTCCACATACACAGGGGCATAGAGGTTATGTTGCATGACCCATGTACGGAGACTATAGTCCTTGTTACCACGATCACCGTGGGTTCAAATCCCACCTCAATCCTTTGCTGCTTGTTGTCCTCCACTCTCTCCGCCTCCATGTTTCCTGTCTCTCTTCAGCTGTCCTATCCAATAAAGGGAAAAAATTACCCAAAAATATAACTTCAGAAGAAAAGAAAAGACATACATACACAGTGCTGTGCTCCCCCGCTGGCTCGCCCCTGAAGGTGAATGCCGATCTGTCATTCTCCTTGTGGAGAGAGGTTGGCCGACACTGTCTATACCTTTATGGATTAATATTATTAAAATATGTGAGTTGTGCAAAAATGTACCCCTTGTACCGTTGCCACAAATATAGAAATGAGACAAAAACCTGTTTCGCCCCAGGCTGTAAAAATCTTTATTTCTGCTGTAAAAATTGGACATTTTAATATGGGACCCTATGGTGATTGACTCACTTTGGAGCCAGCCTCAGGTGGACACCTGAGGTACTGCAGTTTTTTGCACTTGCCAAATAGACTTTATTTTGTAACACCAGAGTAAGCTGCTTGGTTCGGACACATTCGTATTTTAACTTTAACTGAGGATCTGAACACGTTCTCCGTCATAGCAGAGGAGCATCCTTTACCGCAAAATGAAAAACACATGAAACGTGGTCAGTTTAGACTTTCTCTGATTCGGAGTCCTCTTGTTTTTTAAACTCCCCTGCACTTTCTGACCTCCTGCTGGTTTCCCTCGAGGTTAAAGAAAAGTGGTCGGGAAAGAAAAAAGAGCTTTTTTAAGATAACAGGAGGAGGAGGTTTGTGATGTGGGTCAGTAATGACAGACTGCAGTCCTCCGGAGGTTTGGGAGGAGACGGCAGGGTTACTGCGCGTGTGTGTGCATGTGGATGTGTGTGTGTGTGTGTGTGTGTGTGTGTGTGTGTGTGTGTGTGTGTGTGTGTGTTTGTGCTGGAGGGAGTGACAGGATATTCTGTGTTTATATATGAGGCCATCTCTCCTCTATCCGTCGTCCTATTGGCTGAGAGCTCTGCAGAGAGAGGAAGTGGTCACTGATGGCGGCTGATTAGCATCTGGCCTACGTGATGGATGGACAAACACACACAAACACACACACTCACAAACACACACATTGACCTGGGCTCATGGGAAGTCATATGAAACTAATTTAAAAACATGTTGTGTTCACTGGCAGCTCATGTTTAGTTCAGCATCGTGACAGTGAGTGTGTAAGAAAGTGTTGAATGTCCTGCTTGATTAGTTAAGGTTTTGCTGACTTTTTCAATATAAAACCATGTTTCTAAAACAATTTATTATATTTTAATTATTTAACTGTACTGTTGTGGTCAGAGAAAGGTCTTAACCTTAGTTATTGCTCGCTGGTCCTGCAGATTCAGCTATTCAAAGTTTTCTTTTTGTCAGGTGTAGAGGCTGCTGTTAATGTTGAGCTAAAGTGAAAACAAAGATTCCTTCAAATGAAAAAAGGATACCGAGGCCTGAACTACAAAGTCAGTTCAGCATACCCAGGGTATCTTTAAGTTATCTTGCTTAATTAACCCTGACAGATGAGATCACGCTTAGCGGACAGACAAAGCTGCCTATCAACTCGATAAGGAAACCCAGAGCTTCTGAGTGTGTTCACATAGAAAGGGAGCAGAGTTAAGCCTGGGCTGATTACAGAAAAGCAGTGGTGGAACTTTAGCTCTCACTGAATCGTTTAAGAATTTAAGTGCTCACACTGGAAGAGCCGAATGTCGAGCACGACCTGAGAGCTCACACTGTGAAGCTAAAGAAAATAGTCAAAAGAAAAGTCCGTCAAACAGAGGACGAGTCAGAACTATGTGTATTTCAGTTGTGTCTTAGAAACAGGAGTCGCTCTCTCTCACACACAATCTGCCTCACCAACAAACACAAGACGAGCGGCTAAAGATCTGCCTCTGACATCAGTCCACCTGACCAGTTTGTTTATGCATGATGATGACCACTTCCTGTTTCCTGTGTGATGTCAGATTCAGGGTCCTGTGGTGCCGCCTCTCCCTCCAGGAGGCCTGGGTGGTGATGATGATGAAGATACATACGAGGAGGCAGCACCTTACATAGCTGACACAACCACCTCTAACACGGGTACCTACACACACACACACACACACACACACACACACACACACACACACACACACACACACACGCACACACACAGTAAATATTGATAACAGAAACATTGATAATGTGTTCTTCCCTCCCTCAGAGAAGGTGGAGTCAGACAGCAGTCACTACGAGTCGTACGGGGAGGAAGATGACGATGACGAGGAGCCTGTGAAGGACAGAGCTCACTACCTCCGATGGAGTGCCTCGCAGCCCTGCCTAAGGCCCATCCCCGAGTCCCGCCTCTGTGGTTATCTGTGGAGGAGGAAGTGGCTCGGACAATGGACCAAACAGCTGTTCATCATCAGGAACGACGTGCTGCTGGTAAGAAGAGCAACTCTGATGTTCTACTACAGCTGTTCAGACAAACAGAGAGGTCGACACTAATATATGTGTGTGTGTGTGTGTGTGTGTGTGTGTGTGTGTGTGTGTGTGTGTGTGTGTGTGTGTGTGTGTGTGTGTGTGTGTGTGTGTGTGTGTCTCTCAGTGTTATAAGTGTGCTCAGGACCTGCTGCCTCAGATGGAGTTGAGCTTGCGCGGTTGTCAGCTCGCCTACAAGTCAAAGAGCAACAGGAAGATCCAGCACCAGCTCAAACTGGTTCTACTGGGATCTGAGTCTCTGGTGCTGGGATACAGCAGCTTCCAGCAGGCCGATGAGTGGAAGAGGGTCAGAAACACACGACACAGACAACAACACACACTTCACACATCACTGACAAACTGAACGAGGGATGAGATCTCGTTCATTCTGCTTTACATTTCTGAAGTAGTTTTGTGTGTTTGTTCTGACGTAAAGGACGACAGTTCTTCCTCTAGCATTGAGTCACATTAGATTGTAAAGCTGTTTTAGGACTGCCAACTTTTGTGAGTACCACTTTGTGTATATGTGGATTATAAGCAAGAGAAGTGGAGCCTATTTTCTATCTGTAGTTTAACCAAAACTGTTGTTATTGTTACAGTGGAAATAAATTAGTCCACTATTTTAACATTAAATAAGGAGACAAAGTGCAACTCACACAGGATGTCCTTGCTGATACGGGATGGTTGGCAACCCTAAAGTATTTCTAATGAAGTAGCAGCTGAGTGTGTGTTAGTCAGTCTTTTTATATCAGGTGTGTTGTATGTGTTGTTATTTGTGCAGGTGATGGAGGAGGTGAGTGTCGGATGTGAAGCTAAGTCTCAGAGCTGCTCGTCTCTGAACAAATCAGACCAGATGCTGTCCTGCAGGGTGAGACACACACACACACACACACACACACACACACACTTCACACTCTGGTAAAAATACTGTATAGTCACGTCCAAAACAGAAATAAAGACGGCAAAAATGTCAAATCCTCAAGATGTTATCCGATTTCCCCAGACTTTACGTTTTATATTATTTCCAACCCTAAACCTAAATTTGTGAGGATTCTTGTCATCATTCATTAAAGACCAACAATAAATAAAAACCCAGATGTTCATGAATATATAAAAACCTTCAAAAAATTTCACAATATGTTGTCATTTCAGCACAAACTTTATTTTCTAAGTACAGCACAAAACATGCTGGTTAGGTTGAGCTGTTGTATTTAAAACTAGCATGGAATGCATATTTTACCTTCAAATTAGATTCATTGATTCTTTAATAACTAATCATACTTATATTGAAAATGTAGTTAATTTGTAATTGAAAAGGTAAACTCTGTCTGCGTTTTGTGTGTCTTCAGTCCAGTACAGTCCTGTCTGACTCTGAGGAGGAGAAACATTCAGCCCACTGCAGCCTCAACACAAACAAAGGTATGAAAATTCAAGTCAAATTTTACCAACTACAGGTACATTTTCTTCTGGAGAAAGACAGCCCTATGTTTCATCAGAAAAAATCCCTTCAGACTCCATTCAGAAAATAAGCATTTTATAAGTTGTTTCATCGTCCCATCTTGCAAGTCATTTTGGCAATCTTTGGGCCCTACAGCTGCAGTTCAGTCAGAGCGGAATCTGTTTATTTTAGATCTATACTGCAGTAGTAAGCCATATTCATTCTGCCAGTATGGAGACAGATGCTGGGGTCCATCAGAGAAATCCTGGTTTTATTTAATTATTACAAACATTACGGTCAAACAGCTTAAAGCTCCTTTCATTTTGCACTTGTTAAAAGTCTTTATGTAAGACAGGACAGGTAGCGCCCTCAGTAACCTCGTAGTCCTGTCTGTGTTTGATTGACAGGTTTCCTGAGCGTGCTGATGAACTGTCAGTGGCAGAGTTTACGGTGTCAAGTGGAGGCCGGTCTCCTCAACATGTTCGGACAGGAAGAGGAGGACGAGGAGGAGGGAGGGGAGCTGGAGAGTAAGCGGTCACCTCAGTACACCGTCCAGCTGAGAGGGTGTGAGGTCAAACCTGGACCAGACACTGATTACTCCTACAGGATCACACTGAGCATGCTCGGTGACCAGGTGGCTGTGCTGGAGGTGAGATGATGCAGCAGGAACCAGAAAACATTTATTTTTATTTCAGTCTTTGTCACATTTTCATGTTTCCATCCTTCTCTCAGGTAAGTAGTTTAGAAGAAAAGGAGCGCTGGTTAAAGCTTCTGCAGGACGGAGCTGGCAATCACAGTCACCATGACAACAACCCAAAGGAATACACAGGTGGATCTCTCAGGTAAGAGACTCTTTCAATACATCGATCAACATGGTCCTCCAGTTGATGCATATTGTTTGAATGTAACAATTTTAGATGATATTTACACACAAATTCAAACAGAAAAACAGAACTGGAATTCAACCAGGTGTTTTTATCGAAGTAAACATTTCAATACAAGTTTGAGGAATTTAGACTGTGCCACTTCCTGCTTTTAAACAACCGTTTTGGAGGGAAATGTTGTTGTCTTAGAGGAATTTGAATCATTTATAAAATTTGAAAGAGCAGTGGGCCGAGAATAGAACTCTGAGGTACACCAAATGCGATTGTACTGTTTCTTCTTCTTTTTCTTATGTGGTCTTTTTCTCATTTCACTCCTCAGTGGCTTGCAGATTCGAAGGTTTCCCGCCTCAAACACCTACATGGACGACCCTTTCCGTCTGAGCGGAGAAGGCCGAGGCCAGCCCATCTACTCCAACACCTCCATCCTAGAGCACATGGTACATCCACAGAGCAATTCATGGGCTCAAAAATACTATTTAGTTAAAGAAATTCTCAAGAGCATGATTTTAAAAAGCGTTATCATGGGGTAGAAATACTCTCACCCATAAAGTAAAGGTTCCTCTTAGCATTTGCATGATTGCAACTCTGCCTGACTCCAGTTTAAATCCCCTTCAATATTAGATACTCAGAGACAGAAAAAAACAGCTCTTAGTGACACACCATGTGACAGGTAAAATTTGCTTTATGCAGAAGAACTTTAATCCACAATAATGAGGTTTGAGTCCTATGTAAACTCTTAATTTTTACCCTGAGTATGATGTATTTCCTTAATCCTAACCTTGTAAGAGACCCTACTCAGTGGAGGGCAATAAATTGAATAACAATCAGAGTAACAATTGGTTGAAAAGTTATTTTGAACATAAAGTGTTGTATTTGTATTTCAGATGAGCAGCTCTCAGGACTCTGTTCACTGCAGCTCGGTGTCCTCCAGAGACTCAATGACCTACAGCAACACCGTCTTCACAACACAAAGTGAGTCTTTATTTCATATATAAACTCTTTATACAACATTCACATTTTTGAAGGGCCATAATGTTACTATTTGCTCAATAATTTACCCTTTGTCAAGCCCTGCCCTCACCAGGAAGTAACTGTCAGTCCCTGCCCTCCTTAGTTACTGTTACAAGGATAGAATGCTACGGATCCATACAGGAAAAAACTCCCAGATTAGGGTCTTAGGTCACTCTAGCAGCCACCTCAAGCAGCTTTTAACCATGTTGTGGTAACAAATTAAAGGTCACAATTTCGCCGTGATGCACTAATAAGTCTTGGCCCTGGTAAAGGTTTGTCTAACCGGAAGTAGCAACGTTTACTATGAGAAAGGGCTTTCTGATTGGTGAGTCAGCGGTCCAATCAGAGAGCCAACAAAGGGTCAATAAGCAATTTGCACTGGAGTAGTTGGAATTAGTGCCGGAACAAAAATAATCATCTGATTCAAGCTGAATGCTAAAAATGTCCTAGTTTGTGCCTTTACAATGTGAGGATTTAATTTTTAATCCAGGTTTTATGCAGTTTGAAATGAATATCTTTGGCTTTTAGACAGTTAAGGATCTTCCTTTATTGGGGCTCTATGTACCGCTAAGAGAGGCCAGTTGGCACGGGTTGCGCTGTACTGCTCATAGATTTAAAGCTAATGTTGCTAACAAAAAAGGATATTTCACAGCCCGAATCTCCTGCTATGATCTGTGGTCAGATTGTTGTCGGGCACATCTGGAAAATCAGATAATGTGAGGGATATATTTAACAATTCTGTGACATTTTCTAAACAGAAAACTAATGGATTAAACGAGAGAAGAACCCGAACCTAATAGATCACAAAAATACAATATTTAGCTAAATATAGCCTACGTGAATTGGAAAAGGAAAACATAGACCTAAGACGTTATTTACTAGAGTTTCTGTTAAATATGTTGAATTATTTTACAAAAAGTGACAGTAAAGACCGTTAATGTGTGTGTGTGTGTGTTTCAGGCAGGAAGTCGGCAGACTTTGAGCGGGCCGTTCAGAAGCTGGAGCTGACGGGGAAGAGGTCGGTGCAGCTGAGGGCGGGGTCAGAGACCAACCTGGCATCTGTCGGGAAGCAGAACAAACGCACGTTCAGACAGTCGCTGGCCGTCTGCACTGAGCGCGCTCAGGTAAAGAAACAGTGACAGGATCGGCTTCTTGTTCGTTAAAAGAAATTTTACAAACAAACAAAAAATCGATCCAAAGAGACGATATATTCAGTTCAGTTATTGTAACTTTTATTACTTTTCAAACTTTCTGCATTTTCAACAATGTTTTAAACATCAAGGAGTTATGAATTCTTACTTCCTTCATCACCAGCACATGGAAACCAGACAACAGAATGATGACTTTTAGTGCATTGACTATTTTTAAAGAAATGGAAGAGGAGATACCCGAGCATCAATTTTACTGAATTATAACTGGTTTGACTGCTAACTGGTTTGACTGGTATCTGCTCTAACCTCTGCTTGTTTTGCTGGTCCAGGCTGGTTTCCTGAATCCTCTGCTGAGACGGACGGCCTCGGCTAAGAACTCTCTGAAGCGAGCTCCTTCAGCGCTGTTCATCGAACACGGGAAGGTTTTCCAGAGACGGAAGGTCAGACTCAAGAAAACAGATCTGTCTGCTGCTGATCGATGTTTCTCTTTAGAGTCTTTTCAATGTCACATAAACTTAAGTGTTTTTTAGTCTTTAAACCTGGAGATAGAGAGTCCACCAATCCCAGCGAGCATTGGTCCATTGTAAAGACATCTAAAACAGTGGTTCCCAATTGTGGGTCGAGGTCCAAAAGTGGGTCACGGCGGCATTTTCAGCGGGTCGCGAATATGTGCCAAAACATTGTGTCAAAAAAGTCTGATCCGTATCTTTGTTCGCTCATATGTTTTTTACCATCTGAGGTCCAAACTTCACAATTCTCCATTAAATAAATGTGATTGGTTCGAAAGACATCAGAAATTTACGTCACGATTTTGATGTTCAATGTTCAATGTCCTCTACTTTATGGTCAAAAGACTCCACAGTGATAGAAGCAAAGAGCAAGATTTTAAAGAAGTTAGTGAACATATTTTCTAACAGAAAGAGCTGCATGTAAAGACAATGTGTAGAAGCTTTAATCTCAGTTTTATGTTTCTCAGTTTTATCCAGTTAACTCTTCTGTTTCTGTTTTCTCAGGAGTGGGAAACCAAAGCTGCTGCTTGACATCGTTGTCCGTGTGATCATCACATCAAGTGAAGAGCCTCCAAAGAACACAAAGTGCATTTCATTTCAAGGGACAAACTCTGAGTTGTTGTTTCTAACATAATGTCAGTGTTTGCCTCTCTGACTGCTGAAGACTTTAACAGTCTGTGGTTCTAATATAACATTAGTTTGGCCTTTATCCTCCTGATACTCGCTGTGTGATAAACCTGGAAGACAACGTCTGCTTTGCATTAAGGGGAGTTAAGTTATGTTTTTGTTGGTTTCTTTGATTGCAAGCGAGCGCTGAAAAGAAGATTTTTCTTCTTGCTGTAGCAACAACATGTCAATCACAGGAGGCCCCGCCCTAAAAGTGGTCCCTGCTTTATCGTCTTTCTTTTGTCTGCATTGGACTTTTAATGAATGAGATGAACATCATGATGTGTAAGGAAAGACTTGAAACCAGAAATAGAAACAGAAAGCTTGTTAGGAAAACGTTTAAGAAGGTAATGAATCAAGTGAGAGAGGTCGGCTCATTTTTCGTAGACTCCTTTGGAAACCGGTGGGCTCGCCCTGCAGGTCGGTAGAAAGAACTTTTCCTGCCCTGGTACATGTACTTCCTATTTAAACTCTATGACACCTGTCAGGTATAATCAAAAACATGCAGTTATGTTCAGACTTCTCTCTACAAAGTTCAAACATAAAAAACTCTAACATTCACTTTTAACCACTTATTTCTTTTTCTGTTCAATTCAAGGCTTTAATATTCTGTTTTTCTATATAAGAATTATCACTGTAATTAATTGGTGCTTAAGAATCAAGTGAACTTCCTGCTTTTCAGCCAATCAGAGAAGAGTGTCTGTGAAGCAGGAGTCTGCGCAGGGTAAAAATATGTGATAAGGACATTTTGTATTTTATTCCCAGTGTGATTCTCAGAGATTGTGATCAGGATTTTCTAAATTATGTTAAATTGTGACGTTTATCAGTCAGGTAGCACATGTTTTTAGTTCTGTTTTCTTTAATCCGATGTTATTTCTTCAGTGTAATTTATGATGTTATCTCCAGCGGTGGAAGAAGTGAGCAGATACTAAACTTTGGTATGAGTATGACAACTACACTGTGAATATTCTCCAAGTCTAAAGTCCTGCATCCAAAGCCATGGAGATGTTACTGATCACAGGTTTGAAGTTGTCTAAACTTATGTGAAGTCTGAATCACTTCAATTTGTGTTTAATGGAGTAATGGAGTCGATGTTCTTAGCTACAGTCCACTTCTTGTTATAACTGAATACATCTGTGTATATATATTGATCAACACAATTTAATTATCAGTCACTTGTTTGTTTTCTTTTTATATTTACTGGATTTTCTTTATAATCTCAGGAAAAAAACAGTTTCTTTGTTGATGTTTGACACTAAAATGTAAAATATTAAAAGCATGAATTTTACATCTCAGTTTGTTCTTTTATGAGTAAAAGTTTCACACATTGACGTGGTTACAAAAGCATCATCAGAGACACGTGTGAGAAATGTGACACAGAGTAGAAATACTCAGTGACAGTTTAGGTCCTGCGGTTTAAAACTGAAAGTACAAGAGTGATGTCATCAGACGTCTTAGTGTACCAGAATTACTCATCAGACTTAATGACTTATCAACAGGAATGTCTAATTAGTTGTGCCATTGACCAATCAATGTTAAAACAATTATAAAATATAATATAATATAATAATAAGTATAATCATTATTTTAACTTCTCATGATACACTGACATTTCATATTTTTTATTTTTATTACCGTTTACCTTGTAAATGTGACAACAAACAGTATTGGACACAAATTCAACACTGAAACGACATTAAATTTGTCAGCCAGCTCAGCAATTAGCCAGCCAATCAACACAGAATGATGCCACATTTAGCTGGAAACGATCCACAGGTAACAGGAACGTTTTTTTGTTTCTGTTTTCAAATAAGTTCTGCGTTCAGATGACAGCGTTTTGATAACAACGGTTGAATAAACATATCTGAAAAACAACTAAAAATGTTGTAGTATACATGCCAGGCCAGTTGTCACATTTGGTGGTGTAATATACATATATACCTGATACAGTTTGGAAATAAATGTAGTCAAAAAAATGACTTCTTCAGCTCTGGAACTCTCTGCTACCTGACATTCGCAACATTGACTCTCTCCCCATCTTCAATCCAGACTCAAAACCCATCTGTTCAGATCTCTGCTCACTCTGAATTTTAACTGCAATTACACTGTCCTACATTTCTTTTCTTTTATGTATGCTGTTTTTACAAAAAAGTAAATCACTTTCAGGTGTTTTATGTGAGCACAGGAGAAGAGAGCAATAAAGAAAAAATGACAATACCGTATTTAGGGTTTGACATTGATTCAAAGGTATCTGAAAACACAAGTGTGCACACCAACCCTCTCCCTGACTAATTCCCCCTAAACAATTTAATCATAATAATGTGTGAGAGTTTAGCGTCAACAGAGCCCGTTTTCACCTTTCATTGATTTCCCCACTGGATTGTTGATGGACGGCTTGCCTCCCCCCACCCCCTTGCTCCCTATCCCTCTTCCTGCATCTTATCCCATCTCTCCCCCTATCCTTTCCAACCCCGGTGCAGTCTAGACCTGTGAAGGCTGTTTCGTCATGAGCCGGGAACCGGCCGAAGATTTCTGCCTTTTAATAAGGCAGTTTTTTCTTACCACTGTAACTTTTGCTGCTTTGCTAAAAGTGCTCATGATGGATAGGCTTTTGTAGCATAACAATGAGTAAGGTCTTTTACCTGCTTTTTGTAATGTTAACAATGAGTAAGGTCTTTTACCTGCTTTTTGTAATGTTAACAATAAGTAAGGTCTTTTACCTGCTTTTTGTAATGTTAACAATAAGTAAGATCTTTTACCTGCTTTTTGTAATATAACAATGAGTAAGGTCTTTTACCTGCTTTCTGTAATATAACAATGAGTAAGGTCTTTTACCTGCTTTTTGTAACATAACAATAAGTAAGGTCTTTTACCTGCTTTTTGTAATATAACAATGAGTAAGGTCTTTTACCTGCTTTCTGTAATATAACAATGAGTAAGGTCTTTTACCTGCTTTTTGTAACATAACAATAAGTAAGGTCTTTTACCCGCTTTTTGTAATATAACAATGAGTAAGGTCTTTTACCTGCTTTTTGTAATGTTAACAATGAGTAAGATCTTTTACCTGCTTTTTGTAATGTTAACAATGAGTAAGGTCTTTTACCTGCTTTTTGTAACATAACAATGAGTGAGGTCTTTTACCTGCTTTTTGTAACATAACAATAAGTAAGGTCTTTTACCCGCTTTTTGTAATATAACAATGAGTAAGGTCTTTTACCTGCTTTTTGTTATGTTAACAATGAGTAAGGTCTTTCACCTGCTTTTTGTAATATAACAATGAGTAAGGTCTTTTACCCGCTTTTTGTAATATAACAATGAGTAAGGTCTTTTACCTGCTTTTTGTTATGTTAACAATGAGTAAGGTCTTTCACCTGCTTTTTGTAATATAACAATAAGTAAGGTCTTTTACCCGCTTTTTGTAATATAACAATGAGTAAGGTCTTTTACCTGCTTTTTGTTATGTTAACAATGAGTAAGGTCTTTCACCTGCTTTTTGTAACATAACAATAAGTAAGGTCTTTTACCCGCTTTTTGTAATATAACAATGAGTAAGGTCTTTTACCTGCTTTTTGTTATGTTAACAATGAGTAAGGTCTTTTACCTGCTTTTTGTTATGTTAACAATAAGTAAGGTCTTTTACCTGCTTTTTGTAACATAACAATGAGTGAGGTCTTTTACCTGCTTTTTGTAATATAACAATGAGGTCTTTTACCTGCTTTTTGTAATATAACAACGAGTAAGGTCTTTTACCCGCTTTTTGCAATATAACAATGAGTAAGGTCTTTTACCTGCTTTTTGTTATGTTAACAATGAGTAAGGTCTTTTACCTGCTTTTTGTTATGTTAACAATGAGTAAGGTCTTTTACCGCTTTTTGTAATATAACAATGAGTAAGGTCTTTTACCTGCTTTTTGTTATGTTAACAATGAGTAAGGTCTTTTCACCTGCTTTTTGTAACATAACAATAAGTAAGGTCTTTTACCCGCTTTTTGTAATATAACAATGAGTAAGGTCTTTTACCTGCTTTTTTATGTTAACAATGAGTAAGGTCTTTTACCGCTTTTGTTATGTTAACAATAAGTAAGGTCTTTTACCTGCTTTTTGTAACATAACAATGAGTGAGGTCTTTTACCTGCTTTTTGTAATATAACAATGAGGTCTTTTACCTGCTTTTTGTAATATAACAATGAGTAAGGTCTTTTACCCGCTTTTTGTAATGTTAACAATGAGTAAGGTCTTTTTACTTGCTTTTTGTAACATAACAATGAGTGAGGTCTTTTACCTGCTTTTTGTAACATAACAATAAGTAAGGTCTTTTACCCGCTTTTTGTAATATAACAATGAGTAAGGTCTTTTACCTGCTTTATGTAATGTTAACAATGAGTAAGGTCTTTTACCTGCTTTTTGTAATGTTAACAATAAGTAAGGTCTTTTTACCTTGCTTTTTGTAATGATAACAATGAGTAAGGTCTTTTACCTGCTTTTTGTAATGTTAACAATAAGTAAGGTCTTTTACCTGCTTTTTGTAACATAACAATAAGTAAGTCTTTTACCTGCTTTTTGTAATTAACAATGAGTAAGGTCTTTTACCTGCTTTTTGTAACATAACAATGAGTGAGGTCTTTTACCTGCTTTTTGTAATATAACAATGAGGTCTTTTACCTGCTTTTTGTAATATAACAATGAGTAAGGTCTTTTACCGCTTTTTGTAATGTTAACAATGAGTAAGGTCTTTTTACTTGCTTTTTGTAACATAACAATAAGTAAGGTCTTTTACCTGCTTTTTGTAACATAACAATAAGTAAGGTCTTTTACCTGCTTTTTGTAACATAACAATGAGTAAGGTCTTTTAGATAACACTTGTTATGAGTTGACACTATACAAATAAAAATTGATTGAATTGATTGAGTATTTAAAAAAACGTTTAAATAAGCTCCTACAAGAAACTGTGTTGAAATACAGAAAAATAACTCATTAAAGCAAAGGAGTCGTCCCGTTGTCCACTAGTTGGCGACAAACACTCCGAAGTCTCGCGGTGTTTCCCTGTTCTCGCAGCAGAAGAAGAATCGCGGAAGAGTGGAAGAGATTTCCTGACGGATCACCGGGCCAACAAAGATAACTATCCGTCTAATAACGCAGTTTAATCTAGTTTACAGGTTAGATAGACCCCCGCACTGAAGGTAAGACAGCAGGATTCCTCACACAGCCTCTCGGT